GGCCGATGGCGGTGTCACAGCAGCAGCAGGATGGCCCGCCCGCTCCTGACGGGGGCCAGCAGGGTCTTCAGCAACCGTGCTGGCCAGTTAAAGGCGCCCATGACCCCCTCCCCACGGGGAAGGGCACACAGCCTGGGCCCCTCGCTGGAAGGACCTCTGATCATTTTCCAAAACGCCGACACGGCCCACGAGCGCCTGTCCCTGCCCCCGCCCACCGCCCAGGTCCACGCTGGAGGCCGCAGGAGGCGGGCTGGGCGGGGACAGCGCCCCTGCTGACTCGGAGCCAACCCTGCCAGCCTGAGTCAGCGCGGCGTCAGGTGCAGATGATCGGATCGGGGCTGTGCTTTGACCTTGCAGAGACGGAGGTTTTTCCGAGTCCTGGGTTCTATCGCACGTCGTCTAGGCAAACGCGTGATTTTTTTCCTCCACCCTGGGGGCGGGGAGTCAGGGGTGCTGAGGATATGGGGACAAGGCTGTGACTGTCTGCGCGTCACGTGTTCACATCCACAGGTTCACCTGCCCGTGGGGTCGGGAGCACATGCGGGCAGAGCGGCCCCGTGGGGAAAGGTCTCACAGGGCATAGTGTGCGTGTGTCGTGTGGGGCCCTCCCGAGAGCGGCTGGGCCTGAGGCCGCGTAATAAAGAGAATCCAACCAACGAGCAGGACGTAAATGAACTTCTGAGAAGCTGTTCTTCATCTCCTTGCCTTCCCGCGGGACTCAGCCACGTTGGTGGGGGTGGGAGGGGACACAGACCTTGGCCTGGGCTGGCCCCAGCCACAACGTGTGCTGGGGACACCCAAGGTTTCCAGCAAGCCCCCTCGCTGGCCCCTGCCGCTCAGGACAGCAGCGGGCCAGCCTGGCCTCCGCTGGTGTTTCCCCGGGTGGTGGTCATCTCTCGCCGTCTCGGCGTAGCCTGTGTTCTTTGGATCATCGTCCGTGATCCCGACTTTCCACCCGCCCAGTTCTTTTCCATCCCCAATCTGGCGGCCGCGCCGGGGATTGTTTTTGCAGGCTCCGAGCTGGGGGAAGTGACTTCATGTGGTGTCCGCGGCCCAGGGTGGGGGCGGGGCCTGTGGTTGCATGCGCTTTGAATTGAGTGGACAGTTGTGCATTCCAGTAGCCGACATCTGGCGGTGAATTCATCAGCCAGTCGATCACCCTTGATCTCAAACCCAGATGTTGTGTTAGCGGCAGAAGGGAAAGGAGAAAAAACAAAATCTGAGCAGGGAGAGGCCGTCATTTTGCGGAGCAAAGTGGAGCCCGGAGCTGTATGAGGGCTCCGTCCTCCTGCTTCCTCTGGGTTCCTGCATTGGTGGGGGTGCGGGTGCAGCAGAGCAGCCCGCTCCTGGAGGGAGGGGCAGCGCACGAGCCCATCTCCCACCCCAGGGCCAAACCCCAGACCCAGCACATAGCGGGTGTTCAGTAAACAGGTGTCCGGACCTGGCCTGGGTTTTCGTCTCTCCCCACGTCCTTTGGGTCTCTCTGCTTTTCCCAGTCCTGTTCTTTAAGTGGCTTGAGACCCCTGAGGCCTCCGCCCTGGAGCTCCCTGCGATGCCTGTCGCCTCGGGTGCAGGTCACGTGTCCTGGAGGGCTCTCCTTGCCCCCCCTCCCCACCCACCTGGAACCTGCGCATTTCTTGTTTTCTGGTCTGTCGACTGTCTTCTTGCCCTGCGTGGGTGCTCCTGGAAGTCAAGGTCAGTTACTGAAGCACCACCCACGCCTCGCCCCTTTCAGCCTCCGGACAGCAGGGGGCGCCGTGCGGGCGGGGTGTGCTCTCAAAAGGCAGCCTGGCCCCAATCCCTGTGCTCAGTGTAGAGGTCCATCCCCACTCCGGCCTGGTGCGGGGGCAGAAGGTGAGGGTCTGCCGTGACGCCACCCTGCCCGCCCTCCCCCTGCCACCAGCCTCCCCCCTTTCCCACTGGACCCTCGGGCTGGGATCAGTCCATCGCCAAGGCTTTGCGCGTGCCCTCCGCACCCAGAGTGCTGACCCCGCGCGGTGGACCCCCGGCCCCCGGGGACAGGAGCGTGGCCAGCCCCCCTCACGGCTGGAAGCTGTGGGTGCGTTGGGGACGGTTTCTCTAGAACTGGCCCTTCTCGGCCTGACTTGGTTCTCATTAGCTCTCATTTTGCAAAGCGGGGAGGTGGTTCCCACCCAGAATTCGGGGAGGCCCAGAGGAACCTGAATCCTTGCTCAGCTTGGGCCAGCCGATTGGAGGCCCTGCTGGCCCTGCCCCGTCCCTGCCGGCCGCTGGCAGTGTCATGCCCATTGCGGCCTAGTGTTAACCCCACGCCCTGGCCGCTGGATCCACACGGCCTCTCCTTTGCTGATAATTTGCAGAAAGGAAGTGTGTGGTCTGTAGCCCCACGCTGAGCAAACGTGTCCAGGAGCTGCGTCCAACACAGATTTGGGGTTTGAACCCACCAGGACGTGGCGAGTGTGAGGTAGCTGTCGCCGGGGAAGGGGGGAGTTCTCCTCAGTCCCTTCCGCAGTCTGTCCCATTCTGCCATCCGAAATTAGATGTGGCTGTGTGTCAGGCCTGTCCCCCTGACAGAGGCAGGTTCTGGGGGTGGTGCCTGTGGTTCCGACGTGGCGCTACGTCTCAGCGAGGCCAGTGGCCCTTCCCGAGACCGTGCACGGCACGGGGGGCACTGCAGCAGGACCGGCCCCTTGCGGTCCCTTTCGGGTGATGGCTCCGACTGTCTGGGAGCCAAAGGGGCTTCTGTAGGAGGAACGCGCGTGGGCCTCAGCCTGCCGGACGGGGCCGACCCTTTCGGCTGCTGGACAGCAGGCCTTGCCGCTTTTCTGGCCACTGCGAGACGTTCGTTGCGCACCTGCTTTGTGTCACGGAGCGTGCAGGGTGGGTGTGCCCTGCCCTGCTCAGCCCTGCCCCCTCGTCCTTCCGGCGCCGTTGTCTCCTCCGGGGGCTCCCGGGCCGCTTGGCATGGTGAGCTGGTGACGATGCCACGCAAGAGGAGACTCACGACAGCGACTCTGGTCCGATTAAGGATTTGCAGGAACACTTTCGGGTGCGGTGTGGCGGCAAAAAGGAATAGGTTAGGCCGGCGGGAAGAGGGACCAAAGGCAAACCTCCCGCGGCTGCCGCCCCAGGTGTCTCGGGTTCAGCGAACGTCTGCTCACGCCCGGACACTAACCGTCCTGGGCCGCTGGGAGCACCCAGGGCCCCGAGCAGACAGGCAGACGGGGGTTTCCTGCGGAAAGGATGAGAGGGGCGGGATACGCCCCAGAGCAGCGTCTCCCAGAGGGAAACAAGGAGGGCGACTTCAGCTGGGACTTGAGGGATGAGTGGAAGTTCTCGCGGCAGGGAGCGGGGGCAGCATCCAGGGCGGAAGCAAGTGGCCTGCCCAGAGGTGGGGACGCAGCCCCGGGCAGGTCCGGGTTTGGGGGAATATTCGGGCCGATGTACAGCAGAGCGGGGGCCACCGAGGCGGTCGCCACAGCCGCTGGCGGGCGCCAGGTTGCCAAGCACCCTGTTACGGGTGAAGCAGCGGCAGCCAAGGTGGGCGTTTGAGCTGGGATGGGCAGGACTGTGACGGGTACCGGGTGCTGGGGCGGGCGAGGACACTGGAAGCAGGGCGATCTGCAGCCAAAGGCAGAGCCCTCTGTTCGGGGGTGGCCCGCCGGCCTGCAATTGCCTAGATGTTACTTCGTGGGTGGGGGCCACTCTCGGGCTGGGAAACAGAAAGCTACAGCCTGCGCCGGCCCTGACTCAGCTCCAGCAGAGGAGATAAGAACGGGTTTGGGCCTGGACGGGGTGCAGGGACCACGGTGGGGCTCTGCAGCCAGGCCGAGGTGTAGAGAGCACCTCTGGGGTCCAGGGCGGTGGGCGCAGGCGAAGGACCCACGCGACGGGCCGGGGCGCCCCGCTCTGTGGGAGCCGACAGCCGTGGGCAGCGTGCCCCTTTGAGTGGGGAGCTGTCTGCTCCTTATTTCCAGTTTCTCTCACAGCCACGCCAGGGTGACACTTCGCCAGCGCGACCCTGTACAGTTGCAGTTTGCAGGGCAAAGCTTTTAAAGCCATTAAAACTGTTTGTGGCTCCAGCTGATAAGCCGGCAAGTGGCAAGAGGGAGGGCTGTGCCCAGGGACAGCGGGAGCCGCTGACCCGGGGGTTGTCAGGTTACAGGGCCGCGCAGAGTGCCGGCCTGATGGCTGGCAGGAAGCCCTGCGGTGCGCGGCTCCCGGGCCGCTCGGGCACCGGGGAACCTTCTGGAACCTTCGCAGCCTGACCTCCTCCCTTGTCCTTCGTCCTGCACCCTGGTCCAGGACCGCCTCTCTTCCCGCTTGGCGCCTGTCCCTTAGGTCTGCCACGCAAACACTCCCGCACCCGGCTCCATGCCTGGCGGTTACAAGGCTCTGCCTCGTCTACCATGGGACCTTTGTTGCTATGAAGAACCACCCGCAGGGCATTCTTCGGGGCCTCTCGCAGGACAGAGCAGGAGGGCAGCGGAGCGGGGTAGACCTTGCAGAGTGAAGCCCCCCAAAGCTGCGTGGGAGGGGCTCCTGCGGGGCGGGTCACTGCTCTGTAGTTCTTCGGGGACAGGCGTTCGCCAGTAGGCAGCGGAGGCGGGGGCGGTCGCGGCCGTCTCGGCGTCCGACCTCGTGACCGTGACCCAGGCCGGTCGGTCTGCTCGCCTCTGCCCAGCCCCGTCTGGGGGCCCTTGGGGGGGCATGACGGGCCCCAAGGCACTCAAGTCTGGCAGCCACTGAGAGCTTTGCTCAACTCGGCTTCTGCCCCGCCGCCGGCAGCGGGCCTCGGGCTCTGCTTGGGCCTGTGCTGGGGAACCCAGGAAGCAGGCGGCGTCTCGGGGTTACCGCTTCGCCCGCCTGCTCGGCTTGTGTGGCATCCAGGGCCCTGCGGGGGGCTGTGTTCCCTTTGCCCCTGCCTCCCGCCTCACTGACTCCCCGTCCCCGTCCCCGTCCCCGGAGCCAGGACGGCGTCACGAGGGCTCTGCTCACCTCTGCGTCTTTGTGCTTTGCAGTGATCAGGGCCAAAGTGGTCAGCGAGAAGGAGGTGGGGTCCGGCAACGACATCTACGGCAACCCCATCAAGAGGATTGAGTACGAGATCAAGCAAATCAAGGTGAGGGTGCCGGTGGCCGCACTGCTCCCCGCGGCCGAGCTGCGGGAGGGCGGGGAGTGGGGCGGGGTGCTCAGAGGCCGGGCCCCGTGTGGAAGCGTGCCCTCCTCGCTCCTGCCCCTGTCTGGGGGGCGGGGGGGTCCCGTCTGTGTTTACGCAGCGGAGGAGGGGACGTCTCTGCTCTCAACGACCTTCTTTGGTGAAAGGTGTCATGTCAACATCAACATAACCTTTCTTGGTGTTCATGACATTGGGGATGACCCTGTCCTGTTCGGGTTTGCTCATGAAGCTCTCCAAACACACACACAAACGAAACAGCAGCCCACCGATGCTGCTAGCCATGGCTTAGCCACGGCTAGAGTCCTGGAGGGGTTTGTGTGGAACCGCAAAGCCCCCGGGCGCCCACATTCTGCACCTGGGTTATCCTCCTTGTGTGTGGTCCTGGAGCCCGTATGCCGTCCCCTTCCCATGCACCCAGTTTCCCCTAAAACTGGGGTGGGCAGCCATTCTCAGCCCCACTAATGTCCCCGCCTGTCACCGTCCCCCAGTGGGGCAGGAGGCGCTCCCTGGCTCTGGCGTTCTCCTTGCCGGCCAAGGCGCCGGAACAGCACGCCCTTCCCCTGCGCGGCAGGTGTGTCCCCAGGTTGTGCTGCGATTGTGCAGATGGCAGCAGGGGTGCTGACTGCCGTCAGTCCATCAGCAGTTGAGCCGTTGGACCCCACATGCCCAGGAGCTGCATCCTGATCGCGGGGTGCCGCTCGGCGGGGGTCCCCATCACGCAGCCAGTGCTCGATCAGAATCCTGGGAGTGTACGAAGGCGGCGGTCCTCCGGGATGGAGCACGGTCACCCAGAGACCCACAAGCCCCCCCGCAGAGACTCGGAAGCGACCTTGTTGGTGGCGGGGAGAGCACAGGTGGTGTCCAGATGGGTCCCTTGGGGTGACGGTGTCGCCCAGCCTGCTGGCAGCGCCACATTAAGCGATGAACGACTCCAGAGCCTCGCTGTGCGGTCGGAATGGTTGTCTCCTGCCCACCTCTCGGGTGCAGGTGGGACCCTCCCGCCCCGTCCTGGGCGGAACGGACCTCGCCGGCTGTGCAGCCCACTCCGCTTACCCTTCCTCGTCCTCGTCTTTCCAGATGTTCAAAGGACCCGACAAGGACATCGAGTTTATCTACACGGCCCCCTCCTCTGCCATCTGCGGCGTCTCACTGGACGTTGGAGGGAAGAAGGAGTATCTCATTGCAGGTATGTACCTGCATGTGGACGCGGGATGTTCCAGGGACCGTCCAGGTCTGTGTCTGTCTGTGGTCCTGGGACGGGAGGTGCGGGGCAGGAGAAGCAGCCGGGGGGGGGGGAGAATCTCCTCTCGGGGCTGCGCTGCCTTTTCCCAGAATTCCTGGCGCACTTTCCCCTACCGCCCCTCCCCCAGGACCTTCCCCTTTGTTCCAGCAGTGGAACCAGGGGGACTTGCTGGGGAGAAACACAGTAACCAGTAGGGGATTTGAGCTCAGTGCAGACTAAGAGGTGAGAATTTTGCCTTTTGTTCCCTGAAAGGGAGGCTGGGGAGATGCTGGAGAGACCCCAGGCTGGGCAGGAGGGGGAGGGAGAGGGAAGCCTTGTTTTGAATCTGTCGATGTTATTAGATATTACCTCGCGCACTCCTTCCCGATCCTTGGTTCAGCATCTCTCTTTTTAATTGTGGTAAAATACACACCCCATGAAACGCACCATTTTAACCGTTTTTAAGGGCGCGGCCCAGGGACATTAGACACATTCACATTCTTGTGCGACCCTCACCGCCGTCCTCTCCAGAGTGTCTTCGCCTTCCCGACCTGACGCTCTGTCCCCGAGAAACCCCACCTCCCCCCGCCCCCCAGCCCGGCACCCTCCACCTCCCGCCCGTCTCCGTGGGCCAGACTCCTCCAAGTGCCTTATCTGAGTAGGGTGACGCGGGGCCTGTCCTTCGGCACCCGGCCGATGGTGCTCGGGGCCGCCGCGCGGGGTCGCGGGTCAGGGTTCCTGCCCCTTCAAGGCCGAGGCACGTCCCTTGTCCGGACGGGCCCGTGGGCCGCTGTTGCACCTGCCCCATTGATGCTGAGTTCTCCAATCAAAGCATTTCCCTTCACCTCTGTCTCCTGCCCCTGCCTCCTGCCCCGCGCTGCCCCCCAGGAGCGGGGTTCTCACCTCCGCCCTCGGACCTCTGGGACCGGCCGTTCCTCCCGTGGGGCTGTCCTGTGCCCTGCAGGACGTTGAACTGTGTCCCTGGCCTCGGCCCACGAACTGCCGCACCTCCCTCCCCCTGGTCGTGGGGTCTCCAGACGTCACCAGGCGTCCCCTGGGCAGCAGGGTTGCCTGGACTCGAGACCCGCTGGCCGAGCAGAGGCCCCGGGGTGGCAGAGATGCCCTGTGCTGTCTGGGGCAGCAGCCACGCGTGGCCGCCGAGCCCGCAAGCCCACGGGTAGGGCTGGCGCCCCGAAGGGCTGAGCTCTGACTTGACTTCGCGTCCATTCGTTTACGTGTCCCTGCAAACATCGTCACGTGGCTGGTGGCCCCAGGCCTGGGCGTGCTGCGTCGGTCAGCAGTGACCACGCCCGGCCCCTCCCGGGGAAGGCGCGGGTCGTGTTGCAGCCCTGAGCAGGACGGCTCGCCTCGCTGGACGTCATATTTTGCTCCACAGTCTCCGTTGAATCATACAAACTCTGAATCCACGTCTCCGTGACCTGAGGGATTTCCTCCTGTTTAGGTTATTTGTACCTTTTCCCCCCTCCATTGAGAATATTCAAAATTCAGCGCATATTTAGCAGGTGCCCTTTAGGGCCTGCCCCATGCCTGGCGCAGCGGGGGCTCAGGGGACAGACCCACGGCCGGTCCCACCACGGGGGTGGCTCGGGAGGAGAGATTAGAGACCACGAGACAGGTCTGTGGGCACAGGGAGTGCGAGTCTGCTGGGCGGGTGCAGAGGGGCAGACCCCGCCGGTGCCGGGGCCTTGATTCAGTGCCGGGCGGAGGGGCTGACCTTGGCCGCACTCCAGGACGTCCCTGGGGGAGGGAGGCGTCTGTGGTGCGTCCTTGGGTCACTCTCCCTCCCTGCCTCCCTCCAGGGCTCGTGCCCAGCACCTGCCTCCCTGGTTGCTTGGTTGCTACATCAAGACTCTGGCTCCTCTCCTTTGGGACGATAGAAGATTTTTTCCCACTTTTATGGACACTTCTGAGCATCCGACATGTTTTGAGAGCATCTACTACTTGTTAACAGATTTATGGAGATGTAATTCGCACACCACACAGGCCACCCGTTGGCCACCTATGACTCGGTGGTTTTGGCCTTGACACAAGGGTGCACCCACCTCCAGTTGAGCAATGTGCCCTCTGCTGTTACCTTCCCAGCCCCCTCCCTGCACCCAGCCGGGCGCTCGGCCACCAGCGACCCGCTTTCGGACTCTCCGGAGTCCCCTGCTCCGGACTTTCGTATCGCGGGACCGTATAGACGTGGTCCTGTGTGTCTGGCGTCTGCCACTTGGCCCAGTTTTTAAAGTTCGTGCATGTCGCGCCAGGTGTCAGAGCCGAACGCGTCGTTCCGGCCGCAGAGCATTCCACCACTGAGTGGGGCGCCACACTGTGCCGCCCCATTCATCATTTCGGGCACACGGGGTGGTTTCCGTCTCCTGGAGACTGTGAATAGTGTTACTGTGGGCACGTGTGCACAAGCTTTTGCGTGGACGTGTGTTTTCATTTCTCTTGGGTGGATACTGAAGAGTGGAATTGCGAGGCATATGGTGACTGTGTTGAATCATTTGAGGAACTGCCAGATTGTTTTCCAAAGCAGCTGCACCATTTTCCATTCCCAGCCTCTACTATGCCTATAAGAAGAATGACATCTGATGGGGAGGGGGCGCGGGGACAAAATCAGGATGCAGAGATCTTACCCCCTGACTCCACCGCCCCAGGAACACGGGGCGGGGGGCGGGAAAGTCAGAGGGCCGCGAGCGCCCCCCGGGGCGGGAGCCGCGGCCTGACCTGCGGGGGGCAGGGCGGACCGTGCAGCACGTGTCAGGAAGCGCAGCGCGGGGGAGGCAATCAGCCCGCCTCTTGCCATCACTTCTGTCCCCTTTTTTCCTACTTCCCTGCATTGGCTCAGTTTTGCAAATTACGGCATCTATTACTTTTATGATGAGAAGAATACGATCTGGAGAGAAGAGAGAGGAGAGAGAACTTTCCTGGTGCTGCGAACTTGTTACTGTGGCAAAACCGTGGCTTGACGTTTCCGCCTCCTTCTCCGCGCGGGTCGGTGAGGACAGCCCCGGAGTCCCGCTCCGGCTCCTCACGTCGCCCTCTAGAGGCTGTCTGGCCGAACTGCAGCGCTGCGGAAGCACAGAAGGCGGGGGTGGTAAAGTGACCTTGCTCTGGCGGCTACGACAGGCTTCACGGCCTCCCTGTGACTGGAAATCGGAGCGCCCTTTTCCTGGCACTGACGCTGTCCGCGTGCCTTTCATGCTGAGTCTGTTTAATCCTCACCACCCTGGGCGAGGAAGGCGCTGTGGTGATCCCCAGGTCACACAGATGGGGAACCGAGGACTAGGGAGGCGGGGCAGCGTGCCCCAGCGCAGTGTGGGTGCTGACCCCACTCTCACGCACCGGCTGGTGAATTTCAGTTGATGTGGCATTAGTCGCTTACCATTGGCCTGGAGGGAGAGTTTGCACCGTAGAAATCGGCAGGAGCTGCGCCTGGAGCTTTCCTTCTCGGAGAGCCAGCCGGCGGGCCCTCCTCAGCGCACCTCTGCCTGGGCCGCTGCCGAGCGAGGTGCAGCCAGCACCCAGCCCTGGGTCGCCCTGGCTGCGGGGCCTCTTACCCTCTGCTGCCTTGCTCATCCGCCCAGGTCGTAGGCCTCTCCCTGCCCCATGCCTGGTCCTCTGCCCACCCTGCTCCTCGGCGAGCACAGGGGGTTCGCAAAGCTCCCGGCAGCGTCTCGGGGGTGGGGCCTGGGCTTCAGCGTCCTTACAGCTCTCCAGAGAAGAGCAGGGTGCAGTCGCCAGCATCTACTCATGGGAGCCTTCATTGCTCCGGGTCGAAGGCTGACCTTTCACGCTACATGGGCCGCCAGCGCACACCCAGAAGGCCTGCGCCCCGGCCAAGGCCCCTCACCCGCCTTTCAGGGGACAGCATGTTCGTATTCGGGGCCCTGTGTGGTCAGTCAGACCTGCCTCACCCACAGACCCCAACTCTCAGGGATGAACAACGGTTCAAACCGTGGGGCCCTTTGACCGGGTCCTGGGGCTGGATAGCCCGGGAGGCGGTCCCAGCACGCCGTGTTTGCACTAAGTACGTGGCTCACGTACCCTGTCCCACGCACCCCAAAGACCATGAGGAAGGCGCGGGGCCGCCCCGAAAGTGGGGGTCAAAGACAAGTGCCAAGGGCAGAAGCTGCCTCACTGCTCTGTGGTGACCATTTGCTGGTGGTTGCTTTGCCTTCCCTCTTTCGGGGGCTGTGGTGGGAGAATCTACTGTGCTCAGTCCTTTGTCCGAAAGCAGGGCTTCTGGGTCCAAAAGAAGCGTCGAGAGCCCAGCACAGAGTCTAACAATTTCCATTCATCCCTGTGACATGTATGTGTCCTGTGCTGTTCCCACCCACGAAGCTATTCAGTTGTCCCCAATCTGAATGAGACGACTACTCGTTATGCACGTAACTACAGCGCCCGTGTGGCAGGCTGGCCACGGCTGTGCCGTCCCAGCCGTGGCCACACGCGTCAGAGGGACGCAAGGCGCTTGAAGACGCGTTCACTTGATACCTGTGCTTGCGGCCTCTGCCTACCTCACACATAAGATTGGAAGCCAGTGAGTGGCACGGGGCACATTTCAGTTTCCTAACTGGTCACGGGGACACTGCTGACGCTGGTGACTCACCCGGCCCAGAGGAACCTGTCTAATCCGACTTCTTCCCCGGGCTCGGCGACGACTCCGGATCGGATCCCGTGCTGACTTTCTAAAGCACGGACTGAATCTTTTCCTCCTGGAGCCAGGACCGGCTCAGCAGGCATCACGGGTGAGGCCGCCCGCCCCGCCGGCCAATGACTCACCTCCCCGTGGCGAGCTAGGCGCTCCTGGTCAGGCACTTGGAGAATCGGCCCTGTGATTTTCTCCTACAGCCCTCTCCTCCGAGAGGAGAAATAAACATACCACCTTCGGTTACAAATTTTAATTAATTCCTGTTCTTCTGTATCCAAGAACGGCTTCGCTTTTCTCCCAGGCAGGCATAAGTGGAATGTTGTAACAGACGCTCATGTCACGCACGCCCAGGCAAGTGTGAATTATCTCTTCCAAAAGGGGTCTCCTTTTAACGCTCCGAGCTGCTACTGCATCTGTGCACGACCTCCGAAGTTCAGTGAGCCCCGAGACAAGCACCGTTGAAAGGATACAATTTGCATTTCATATCCTCGCCCCGCCTTTGCCTGCTGCCTGCAGAAGCTTGACTTGGTGGTGGAAAGGTCAAAGGGAAAAAGATAATGAAGCAAGTTGTCAGAACAAACACCCCCGTCGTGGGCAGCAAGGACTCTGTGCGAGGGGCTGTGGCTAGAAAAGGATTAAGGCACAGTGTTTGCCTTGTGCTCATGGTGGGGGCAGGGAGCAAGGCGCGTGAGAGAGCCAAGGGGCCGTGGGGAGTGGACACCAAGGGCCCCCAGGGAAGCAGTAGCCCTGGCTCTGGGAGTTTGGGGGCGGAGCCTGCCTGTGATGCTGGAGGGGGCGGGGCCAGGCCGCAGCACAGTGGGCAGGTAGGAAATTGCTGGAGGAAGCCAGGAGATAGGCGTGTGTTACTTGCCATCTGTCAGTGACGCGCCTTCCTTAGATACTCTGAACGCTAAGAAAATGACTACAGGTATAGAGAGAAAAAGTCAATTAACTGATTTTGAAGTGTTGAAGGCCGCCCAGACGCTTCTCTGTTCTAGCTGTTAGGGTTCAGCATCACTGCTGTAGGAGCTGTGCTGCCTCTGGCTCCATTCTTTCCCTGGAATGTCATACAAGTCCAAACAGATACAAGGGAGAACAGAACTCCCAACGCTAAGGAGCCGTAAAAACCGGTAAGAGCAGGAGAGAGGGGGCTTCCTGCCCCGCCCGGCCCGCGGGGTCACAGCGCCGCCCGCAGCCGCAGGCAGGCCCGTCTGCGCTGCCCCGGCGGAGGTCAGTTGAGCGTGACAGGGATGCAGCCGACAAGCCGCAGTATCCCTCCAGGGAGTGCGGTTCTGCCAGCGGGTTCTCCGTGGCCAGCGCTGTGCCCGAGGTCACTGAACTGGACGCATGCAGCCTGGCCACGCTGGGCGCTCAGGGTGCGGCCCGAGGCGCCTGCCAGGCCCCCGTGCTCGTGGCTGGGTATGGGTGTCTCCGGACAAGGTGCCATCCTAGCAGGAGCGGCGAGGTCGCCGTGGCCCTCATTGAGTTCCGTCGTTTGCTGCAGTGCACGCATTTGTCTTTTTCTGCTGCTGGGCCAGGGCTGTCGCCAGCGGGAACTCTTCTTCAGCCCAGACGGGGAGGGCGGGCGCCAGGAGCCGGAGGCCCCGGAGGCCAGCAGCAGCGCCCCCTCGGCCCAGGGAAGGGGACTCAGAGCAGACTTCCGATTTCATCGACGCCCGTGCGTCTGCCACTTGTCCTGGAAAACCCCAGAACCCTCGCGCCACATCAAATGGGGCAGAAGCTCATGAACGAGTATTCGCTGAACAATAAAATAGGAGATGATATAATTATGTCAGTACATGCGCACAGAGAAGACCGGAAGGAAGTACATCAACACGTTAGCTGGATGTAAGGAAGATAGGAGGGGTTGGTTTGTTTATTTTTCCCTGCATCTTTTAAGTTTCCTGCGGGGACCCTGCGTCCTTTCACACTTACAGTAGAGAATCCGTGGTGTCTTAGTCAGCTCGGGCCACTGTGGCAAATACTACGTCCGGGAGGCTCAAACAGCAGATGCTTATTTCCTCACAGTCCTGGAGACTGAACGTCCAAGACCAAGGTGTTGGCAGGGGTGGTTCCCCCCGAGGCCTCTCTCCCTGGCATGTAGGCGGCTGGCCTCTCCCTGCGTCCCCATGCGGTCACCCCCTGTGTGTGTCTGTGTCCTGGTCACCTCCTGAGGATTGATCAGGGCCCACCCACGTGACTTCGTTTTAGCAAATTTGCTTCTTTAAAGACCCTCTCTCCGAACACTGTTCCCGTTCTGAGGTGCTGGGGGCCAGGGGGATGCAGCCCGGCCCCCGGCCCCTGGTTTTGTTGGAACTGAACTTCCCCGTGCCCGAGCCGCACCGGCTGCGGGAGGCGAGCGGACAGAAGAAGACAGCTTGGACCCGCCCTGAGCCCAGTGATCCCTGTCTCTCCCCAGGAAAGGCCGAGGGGGACGGCAAGATGCACGTCACCCTCTGTGACTTCATTGTGCCCTGGGACACCCTGAGCACCACCCAGAAGAAGAGCCTGAACCACAGGTACCAGATGGGCTGTGAGTGCAAGGTAAGCCGGCCCCTGCTCCCGGGCTCCACCACACCCCCGCCGCCTCCAAGTGCGCTGCAGAGGCTGACGGGCGCCCCCCCCCCCGCCCCGTGAGGCTGCCTGGTGGGGACAGACCCGCTGGGCCCTGGTTTCTGCAGAGCCCTGAGGCGCCGCCCCCACCCAGGGAGGGTTGAGTGGAGGGGGGAACCTGGCCAGGGGCCCGGAGCCTCCAGGGAGAGGAGCCCTCTGGTGGAAGGCGTTCGTGGGGAGACTGTGGCCGTGAGCATTTTTTACGACGGGGCAGGGGTGAAGCCTGTGGTTTGTGAGAGTGTCCCAGATGTCACCCTTTCACCAGCACCCCAGCCAGTTCCACGCATGGGTTCTTGTAAAGGCAGAGCCCGTGTGCCGAGGATGCCGGAAGCCCCGGGCCGCCTCTTTAAAAGCGGCCCAGGGGCCGTGCCAAGCACAGCGAGAGCATCGCTAACGCTCGTGCAGGCGTAGGAGGTGAGCCGTCCCGCCCGGCCCCGCGCCCGGGGCCTGTCACCACCCTCCCTGCCTGCCGGCCCCGCCAGAGGACGCACTGCTGGGCGCCAGGCGCCCCTCCGTGTCACTCCCAGCGAGCGTGGGTCTCGGAGGTGCTGGGCCAGGCAAGAGCCTGCGCGAGGCTGCCGGCAGTGGCTGGCCCTGTGTGTGTGGCCCTCCTGCCCGTCCCTGTAGGTCGTCACCAGCCCGGCCCTTAGCTTAGCTCATTCGAGATGAGGATTCTGACCTCCAGCTCCACGTATGTCCAGCAAACGCCTCTGTGCCCAACACAAAATCAAAAACAAGTTCTCCTTCTTTGCTTGGTCACGAAGGTTTCGCCCTGCTGTAGACTCGGCTTCCTCGGCCCAAAGGCTGTTTCCTAATCTCCCCTGAACCCAAGTATTCTTGGGAGCAAGACACTGCCCTTTCTATTGGACTCCCACCTTTCTTCAGGACACTTAAGGCCCTTTGTTGATGTAATCGTTACTCACGCTCCCAGGAGGGTGAGGTAAAGGTAAAGTCACTTTGTTGTGCTCAGAGAAGGTAGCCCAGATGGCCCAAAGCGGAGGCACGCCTGCAGCGGCTGGGGGTGCGCAGGGCTCCCCTGGCTGCGTCGCCCCTCAGGCTGGCTCCCTGCAGTCCCAGCTCCCCCTGCTGCCCTGGCGTGGTCATTCATTCAACAACGTGCCCTTGGCCGCCTGTGCTGGGGGCGTTGCTGGGCCCGACGATGCCCCCAGGCGGCCTCGGTCCCGACTGAGCCCCGCCCGTGCCCCTCTTCCTAGATCACACGCTGCCCCATGATCCCCTGCTACATCTCCTCCCTGGACGAGTGCCTGTGGATGGACTGGGTCACGGAGAAGAGCATCAACGGGCACCAGGCCAAGTTCTTCGCCTGCATCAAGAGGAACGACGGCTCCTGCGCCTGGTACCGCGGCGCGGCGCCCCCGAAGCAGGAGTTCCTCGACATCGAGGACCCGTAAGCGGGCCGGCGGCGCCCCTGCGGCCGACTGAAAGCCTCCAAGAGTGTGGACCGGTCTGGCTCTGACACCCCTCCCTGGCATAGCATGAATAAAACCGTCATCCGAGTGGGTCTAACGCGGTGTCTTTCCCCGCCCCGCCCCATTGTCACTCTCCACCGGCCGCAGCTCCGGAGGGAGAGGTCGGCCCCGCACGCCCCGCCGGCCTGGGCTCCACGCATCTCGGCCTCGGTCCCCAGCCGCGGGCAGGGGTCGGACACGGGCTTCCTCCCAGGCCCCGCCTTGGCACCGTCACAGATGTTGAGCAGGCAGCACGTGGGCGTCCCCTGCCCCCGGCCTGGCCAGGGCAGAGCCTGGGAATGTGCATTTTGCAGAAACTTGAGGGTCGTTGCAAGACTGTGTAGCAGGCCTACCAGGTCCCTTCATCTTGACAGGGGCATGTCCCTCGTTTCCTGCAGCTTCCACGCCTCTGGCCCTAGGGTGTCCGCCCCTGCCCCTTGCAAGTGCCCACCCCCCACCCTGGCTCCCCTGGGCCGACGCGGACTCCACCCCTGTGATGCCCGTATTCCAGGAGCGGCTTGTTCCCCGAGTGCTCTCATCAGTCCGCAGAGTTCCAGGGGGAGCCCCCCCGCGGGGCATGTGGAGGTGTGGATGCGACCGCTTCCGCTAAGTCACTGCGGTGCCCACCACACGCACATTCCCCCACCCTTCGGGGGCGTGAGACATTCGGTCCTGAGGACAGATGCTCGCGGGCACACTTGGCTGCCCTTGCGGCTTGTTCCTGAGCTCCCGCGGTCACACACGGCGCCGCCGCCGCCTCGCTCTGGCGTTGGTGTCGGGCCGGAGGCCGCGACCGGCTTTGCAGGGCACAGCGTGTGGCCCACGGCACGCGCGAGCCGAGCTCTCTGTGAGCACGTCCTGGGGCCTTTGAGAGCTGGATCCTGCTGTGTCCCCCACCTTAGGTTTCGTACGACCCCCTCCAAGACTGACAGCCCTTGTGCTGTGCCTGGGTTTCCGCGCAGGAGGTTCGCTAAGTGTCCTATGGAGTCCTGCCTAGGGAGGGACGAATTCCGGCGCAGGTGGCCTCGGTGAGACCCATTTCCTCCTGGGCCCCCGGGACACTGCTGCCGGCTTTTAGAGGCACCTCCCATGTTTCTAAAGATGGCTTCGCAGCCCGCAAACCCACGCTACAGGCACACCGACCTCTGCCAGTGTTTCTCACATTGCAAAGATGTCTCCATTAAGAAACCTCGTTCATAGGAAACTAGGGAACCTGTTTGTTCCCTACAAGCGGTTTTTGGATGCTGGCAAAATGGGGGTTAACACAGGCAGGAAGCGGTCAGTAGGAATAAAGATAATCTCCCTTTTGATCCTACTCGTTTTGTAAAGACCAGCTGTTCTGAGTGTGTGGTGACGATCAGGCAGACGTAGGCCCACGTGCACGCATGCCTGCACGCATGCACGCACGCCGCGAGACGGCAGCCTGTCCGCCTGTGAGGCTCCCTCTGTCAACCGCGTCCAAAGTCACCATCTTCCAAGCCTGCTCTCTTCTGCAGGGACCCGAGAGCACCTGTGAGACCCCTGACCCCCAAGTGGCATGCAGCCCCGTGCCCACCCGGGACCCGGTCAGTGTAGACCTCGATGGCTTCCCTTCCCGGGGCCGACTAGGGGAGGATCCAGGGACCAGCCCCGCTCCCGGGGCGCGTGCACGCTGTGCAGTGGTAGGGAGTCTGAGGCAGCGTAAAGGACCGGTCCGTGTGATCTCAGTATATACAAGGACACCAGACCCTCCCGTTGCTACACCTGCCCCCTCCCCGCTGGCTTCCTGTATGGTGTTATCATATGTAACATTTACTCCTGTTTCTGCTGACTTTCTCGACGTTTTGGTTTGTTTCTGACATCAGTTGTAATCATTCCTGTGCTGTGTTTTTATTGCCCTCAGTAGGTGTTAGACTTGCGCCTTTTCTTTAGAGGTTCCTGCATCGAGGAAGCGTTCGGCCCAGAGTGGAAAGAGGGGCGTGGTCCCAGCCCAGGGCGGCGGGCCCTTCAGCTCTCGTCCTTAGTTCTCTGAGCGGTCGTTGCTTTTCCATCTCCCGTCTTTTCTCTGGTTCAAATTATTACAAAGAAAAGGATCTCTGAGTTGGTTGGTTCTAAAAGGTGGCCTTTCTAGTTTAACCCGCACACAGCGGCCTGTTAGCCAGGCCGAGCAGAAAAACACAAAAACCAAGAGGAAGGGCCCAGTGGCAGCCGAGAGTCAAGGCCTCTCACACAGTGACCGGAGGTCATTGCCGTAGATGAACAGTTGAAGAAGGCTCTGCACTCGGCATTGTTAATTTATGTTATATTCTAAGCACTGCTCTTTCTTCCCTCTATTGTCTTTATGCAAGCGACTCAAAATATTTAAAATAAAGTTTACATTGTAGTTATTTTCAAATCTTTGCTTTATAAGTAATAAGAAATACCGGACTTGCTGCCATAATTTAAAGCTTTGTTGATTTTGTTTGTTTTTGTTTGGATTTTTTTTTTTTTTTAATTTGGGGCAATGTGTTTTGCTGGAATATGAAGTCTGAGACCTTCCTGTGCTGGGAACGCATGAGAGATGTTCAAAGTCGACAGGCAGACTGCGCATGTCTCCGATGCTTTGTGTCATTCTTGAGTGATCGCTCGGTCAATGGACAATAAACAATATTATCAAAGAGTCTCGGCTCTCTCTGTGTGGCTGTGTCAGGGCTGCTGCTTTCCAGCAGAGCCTGTAAAGGAGGGGGTCCTGCCATGGGGGAGGGGCCAGGCAGTGCTCAGTCCCGAGAGAACAGGCCTGGGTGCCCAGAGGCCAAGCCAGGGCGCAGCAGGGAACGACAGTGTGAACAGGATTTCCCTAGATTGGCAATGGACAGCACGGGGCGCGGCCCTGCGTCCATTCAGCACAGGTGTGTCTGTTCCCACGCAGGCAAGAGGCCAGAGCCGCCCCAGCGCCGCCTTGCGTCTCCCGCAGTGAGGATTCAGCCCGCGCCGGCCCCCTGCGCCGGCCCGGTGCCCTGCCCGAGGCTGCCGGGGAGGGGAAGTTCCAGGCCTCGTACAGGTTCCCCTCCAGGTGTTTCAGTGCGTACGTCTAACAATTACAAGGCGTTTTAAAAACATTCCCCAAATACTTTTGTCGCACCCAGAACACGGGTAGAGCCCCTGACTCTCCTTGACCACCTGGCCAGTGTTGCGCGCCTCTGATGGTCTTGTGCATGCGTCTTCATGCCTCCGTGGTTCACACCGGCATCCACGTGAGGGACCCACACTGCACCCGTTCCCTGGAGCCTCTCGTTCCACGGCCCTGCCCCCCGGCCCCAGACACATACCCTTTCCCTCCTGTGCCAGGAAAGATGGCCTCACTGTGGTTTCGGCTTGAACCGGGGGTCATGCTGCTGCGCGTCAGCTGCGAAACTCCTCGAGCGGCCCAGCCGAACCCCAGCCCTGGGGAGAGTCCGTGGCCCGGGGATACCCGGAGGGCTGGTTTCCCTGTGGGCAGAGGTGGCCTGGTCCGCAAGAGCAGACTTACCGGCGCCCTTCTGAAGCAGCAGGGAGCGGGTGGGCCGAAGCGGCCACCGGTGCCTGTGTCACAGAGCATTAACCGCCACCCATTTAATGTCACCGCCGAAATACTCGGGTGGTTTTCCCTACGCGGTGACATGTACGGGGTAAATGGTTCACTGCGGCACCAGAGAAACCTAAGACCGGAGCTTGTGGGGTCACCCGAGCGACCTCACTCGGCATTCGTGCCAGCCCAGCCCTGCAGGGCGCACCTGGGGCCTTGGCAAACAACGCGCCACACCGTTGCTACCCATTTCATGTATTTTAGGCATTCGGGCCAGACGGGATTTTTTTTAAAAAACACTTTTCATTATGGAACTTTCCAAACGTACACAAAAGTGAGAGAATGGCATAAAAACTTTATGCGCCCGAGATCCGGTGTCAACAATTACCCCAGTTTTCTTGATCTTGGCACACGATGTGGAATCGGTTTGGAGACCCACGTATGGAGGGATCGGATTGTTGGAGATTCCACCCGACACTATTATTTCCCCCTCAGCATTGCTCATTCCGTGAAGGAACAGTGACTGGGACAGCTGGGGACAGCCTGGCAGGCTGGTCAGAATACCCAAGGACGCGGGGCTGTGCGGAGGTCTGCGGAGGGGGAGCCACCAGGACTGGCTGAAATACCTTGGAGCTTGGGGAGCACCGTCTTTCCCTCCTCCTCACTAATGGGTATGTTTACCTGATCTTGCTTTTTCTTTAAAAATACCAGAAAAAGACCCACACAGTGGCCTTCTAGATACTTTGCTGGGGTCCGTTTTATTACGGGCGATTTGCTGTTACCAACGGTATTGCATTAGACTTCGAGGTTTATAGCCAGGCCCACTTCCGGCCTGGGCTCGAGCTTTGAGCCAACCCACAAGGCACCTCCGCGCACACAGGTGCTTTGAATATCTTGCACTGGAAGGCGGTGCTTTGACTTGGGAACATCATTTAGCTGTGACAGCACATTTTCTCCTCCAAAAACCAAATTGATTGTGGGGGAAACAAAGACTTTTCAGAAACGAGCTAATTCCACACATTTCATGCTGAACAACTGGGAGAAATATATTTTTCCGATTAAACAACACAAACATGAGACAGATCAAAATCGAGTCTGCAGATCGGGGGTGGGCGGGTCGATGGGATCCAGGAGGGGCGCAGAGGCAGCGGCGCTGCTTGTGTGACCCCAAAGCGAAGACAGCCGACTGTGTTATTTTTAGGCTGGTCGTGTCTTGCTTCGCCCCCTCAGGTGGAGGTGGGGGTGCCGGGGGGACCAGGAGCGGGATTCCACGGGGGGGCAGGTTAGGGCTCGGCCCAGGTTGCGGTGGGGTGCTGGCCACGCAGTCCCCACTCCCAGGAGGAAGGCCGGCGCCCAGCGTCACAAACATTGAGGCACGTGAGCTGGAAATGGGGGCCCCTCCCAAAACCCAGGCTCCCCGAGGAGCACAGCCTCGGGCCTGCTGGGGTGACAACTCTTCTGTGTGGGCAAATCCTGCCCCTATCCTTTCATGGCCTGTCCCCAGCTCCAGAAACTCCACTCCCAG